TCGTTCGTGTCAGGCTCGTGTCAATGGGTCAGAGCTGACACCCCTACTCATATATCATGCATGTCCCCAATTTTCCCTCACCCAATAATACGCTATTGTTCATTCGCGACGAATAATTATTTTGAGATTCCTCCGAATATGTTTACACGTGTTATTCTGGGTGGTCTAGCAATTATAAACTCACTTGGCTTATGCAATTTGTGAACTCTTTGAATTCAGTAAAGACACTTCCATAGAAAAGGTGTTAGACACAATAGATATATATTTTTTTAATATGAAGTATATTATTAGCAATCTTTTGGCATNTACACGTGTTATTCTGGGTGGTCTAGCAATTATAAACTCACTTGGCTTATGCAATTTGTGAACTCTTTGAATTCAGTAAAGACACTTCCATAGAAAAGGTGTTAGACACAATAGATATAAATTTTTGTAATATGAAGTATATTATTAGCAATCTTTTGGCACGGTTTTAGAAATTAACTTATACTTTTGCCCAATTATATGAAATTCTAAAAACTATTGCACACTTGCGCATTCACCACTCAGCAAATCTATATTTCCCCCTATTAATTAATCNGTGGTCTAGCAATTATAAACTCACTTGGCTTATGCAATTTGTGAACTCTTTGAATTCAGTAAAGACACTTCCATAGAAAAGGTGTTAGACACAATAGATATATATTTTTTTAATATGAAGTATATTATTAGCAATCTTTTGGCATGGTTTTAGAAATTAACTTATACTTTTGCCCAATTATATGAAATTCTAAAAACTATTGCACACTTGCGCATTCACCACTCAGCAAATCTATATTTCCCCCTATTAATTCATCTTTTTTTTTTTTTATTTTGAGCCACTCTTTTCGCAACCCAATTTTTTGAATCTTCAACAATTATATATGTATGTGTCTTCTTCATCTAGCCTCATTGCATTAATATAGATCAAATAATCCATTCGGTGTATATTCAGAGATGGATAAAATTGCTTCTTACTCTTATTTTTATGTAATAGGTTGGGTAGCTTTTGGTATTTTTTCTTCCATTTGAATTTTTTATGCTCCTAATGTGTTGGGGCATCCTGACAATTATATACCTGCTAATCGGATGCTCACTCTGTGTGTGTGTGTATATATATCTCTAAAGCCTCTTTGTGTCATTGAGCTCACTTTTATCTTTTTTCAATTNTTTTTTTTTTTATTTTGAGCCACTCTTTTCGCAACCCAATTTTTTGAATCTTCAACAAATATATATGTATGTGTCTTCTTCATCTAGCCTCATTGCATCAATATAGATCAAATAATCCATTCGGTGTATATTCAGAGATAGATAAAATTGCTTCTTACTCTTATTTTTATGTAATAGGTTGGGTAGCTTTTGGTATTTTTTCTTCCATTTGAATTTTTTATGCTCCTAATGTGTTGGGGCATCCTGACAATTATATACCTGCTAATCGGATGCTCACTCTGTGTGTGTATATATATCTCCAAAGCCTCTTTGTGTCATTGAGCTCACTTTTATCTTTTTTCAAANTGTGTTGGGGCATCCTGACAATTATATACCTGCTAATCGGATGCTCACTCTGTGTGTGTGTGTATATATATCTCTAAAGCCTCTTTGTGTCATTGAGCTCACTTTTATCTTTTTTCAAATGGTTTCATAACAAAATGTGAGTAATCGTTCTGTTTCTCTCTCGATTCTCTTCCTGAATTGATCAATTTTATTAATCTGCATTGTTTCTATGGTTGCAAATTGTGTTTTTTGGATTGTTTCATTTATGAAAGAAATTAGGAATAGGTTTAAATTAATCTCTTAGTTCTGGTCAAATTTTTGTTTGTTTACTATGATTGGGTATGAGTTTTGAAAGAAGAAATAGAATTTTTTAATCTTTTTTTTTTTTTTTTTGGACCGGTTAAAGCATCATTGCACAACCAACTTTGTTGAATATAGCTATCAAGTTTTGGTTGGTTATTCTCTGTTAAAATTCAACTTTTGTTTTCGTACTACATTTTATGTGGTTGCTATCAGAACTCTCACAGGGCCTTTTTGACATCAGAGTATGAGAAAAGCATAAGACCAATTGAATTTTGCTATATTGTATGGTTACAGAAGTATTTATAGATTTACAGGGTAATTGAGTACAAGTAGGATTCTAAGTATTCAAAGTAGCTGACAAGATAATATGAGAAATTTTGTTGCATGCATATCACACTTTTATCCTTCATCACTGATATGCCCCGGCAAGTGAAGCGTGTTTGGAAGAAGGTTAAGCTTGTCTTGAAGCAAGAGAAAACGAAAGGGGCTCCGTGAAGACAACGGCAATTTGATCCCTAGTAGACATGTAATTGACTTGAAGTGCTTTGGCGTGTAATTTCTCACGCATAAAATGAAATGTTACTTCAACGTGTTTCATCCGATTTTGAAAGACAGGATTGGTTGTGAGATAGGTAGCCCCAAAGTTGTCACACCATAGGAGAGGACAAGTTGGTTGGGGGATCTTCAATTCAGTTAATAGAGATTGTGTCTAGGATAATTCAATTGTGGCATCCCCGAGTAAACAGTATTTTGGCTCAGTGCTAGAACGTGCAACACATTTCTGTTTCTTACAACGCCAGGTGATGAGGTTTGGTCCTAGAAATATGGAAAACCACTAGTAGACCTACAATCACCTGTATATCCTACCTAATCAGCGTCGGAGTAGGTTGAAATTCTGAAGTTCAATGGGCGACAAATGGAAATGGTCATGGTTAGTGTGTCATTGAGATACCAAAAAATGCACTTGACCGCATCCCATTGAGCAACAGATGGCTGGTGCATAACTTGACACACTTTGTTGACGAAAAAGGAGATGTTCAATTGGGTAATGGTGGCATATTGTAAGGCGCCAAAAATGCTCCTATAAAGGAGGGGGTCTTCAAAGGTAGTATCCTCGGTTTTGTGCAATTGCATTTTGGGAGAGCATGGGTTGCGGATAGGTTTGGCACCATCCATGTTGCAGAGTTTGAGAAGATCGACAATGTATTGTCTTTGGGTTGGGCCTAAACTAGTGGGAGATCGAATAACTTCAATGCCAGAGAAGAAGTGCAGGTGGCCCAAATCTTTTAGGGTGAATTTCGCATCAAGACGAGTAATAAGAGAGGACATAAAGGAAGAAGAGCTTCCCGTAATGATGAGATCATCATCATAAATTAGAACATATGCAATTGATGTCGTAGAGGTGCGCGAACTTAGCTTGTGGAGTATGTTTAAGACCATACAATGATTTCCAAAGACGATAAACATGAGAAGGATTAACACTCATCCACAAAGCCCTGTGGTTGGCACATATAGACTTCTTCATTGGGTGTGCCATGGAGAAAGCCAATTGTCGAATGATCCATCCATGCCCAATGGCGAAGCATAAGACCGTCCAAATGTATTGTCTTTGAGTTGGGCCTAAACTAGTGGGAGAGCGAAGAACTTCAATGCCAGAGAAGAAGTGCAGGTGGCCCAAATCTTTTAGGGTGAATTTCGCATCAAGACGAGTAATAAGAGAGGACATAAAGGAAGAAGAGCTTCCCGTAATGATGAGATCATCATCATAAATTAGAACATATGCAATTGATGTCGTAGAGGTGCGCGAACTTAGCTTGTGGAGTATGTTTAAGACCATACAATGATTTCCAAAGATGATAAACACGAGAAGGATTAACACTCATCCACAAAGCCCGGTGGTTGGCACATATAGACTTCTTCATTGGGTGTGCCATGGAGAAAGCCAATTGTCGAATGATCCATCCATGCCCAATGGCGAAGCATAAGACCGTCCAAATAGTGACGTGTTTGATGACGAGACTAAATTTCTCATTGTAGTCGATACATTCTTGTTGGTTTTAACCATTGGCGACAATTCACACTTTATAGCGTTCCACGGTACCATCAACCCACTTTTTTATTCGAAAAATTCACTAGCAAACAATAATGTTTGCATTTGGTAGAGGAATTTGAATAGGATAGTTTTTAAATTAAATAGGGTTTACTTGCCTACATGTTGATTTGTTATTGTATTATAATACGATGTGGTAATAATGACATGTTATTATCGTTATATTCAATATTTTCATGACAATGACATATACAGAGTCAAAAAAAAGAGAGAAGATTCTAAGAGTCCTACATNGTTGGTTTTAACCATTGGCGACAATTCACACTTTATAGCGTTCCACGGTACCATCAGCCCAATTTTTTATACGAAAAATTCACCAGCAAACCATAATGTTTGCATTTGGTAGAGGAATTGAATAGGGTAGTTTTTAAATTGAATAGGGTTTACTTGCCTACATGTTGATTTGTTATTGTATTATAATACGATGTGGTAGTAATGACATGTTATTATCGTTATATTCAATATTTTCACGACAATGACATATACAGAGTCAAAAAAAAGAGAGAAGATTCTAAGAGTCCTACATGTAGGAGAGTTCTATTGGATTTCGAAAAATTTAACAACATATCAGAGATGAGAAAAACTCGACATAAGTTTAGGGTTGAAACGGTGTCTTACTTTATTATGTAGATAACCTTGTATACTCGGACATATTAATTTCAAGAAAGGTAGAAGAGGGGTTTGCTCCTATTAGGTGGGTTCTCTCACATCCAAGTTCAATTACTAATCCGATCCCAACGAGACATTTAACGAAGTTGACGAACACACATAGGTAGTCTAATAGTGTAGAGTTAGTCTAAGATGTAATATAAATTCAAACATTTAAAATTCAATTCTTACTTTTGTCTCTTAAGTTTAATTGCTATCTATGGCTAATGGGTGATTATAGACATCGGGAGTTTACTTGGCAGGGAAAGGAGTTGAATGGGTGGTTTACAAACTATGCCACTTTTAAGGTGCAAACTAGATGGGTGAGTTCCCTTTTTCCTTGTTTTTCGCATGTGCGAACAAAAACTTTCTTCAAACATCACATCTTTTGGGAAATACATCACAAGACCAACATTTGTGTGATATGGTGAAAACAATAGCGAAATCTGAAATATTCAAAAAAGAGAGATGCATCGTGGATTACATGTGAAATCATACACCATTTTTAATAGGTAATCATATCAAACAGTTTAAAGAACAAACAAAAAATACAATGGTGGGCTTCAAATTAAGAAAGATGTTTTCTCCCCTTATATCAACATAAGTTTTGTTCCGCGGACTGAAAGTAGTTATCTCTTGGAAGAAAATGTATCCAAAGGTGCAGACCTTAGAGCTTCTTTATCAGCAGATCAACTCCAAATTCAGGCTTTATAACCAGTTTCAGGGCTGGAGAGTGGACATACTTGGGAGAAAGAGTGAAAGAGAAGTTGGACACAAGGGAAGCAATTAGCATCTTCAGTTCAACCATGGCCAAGTGCTGCCCAACACAAATTCGTGGCCCAAATCCGAAAGGCAAGAAGCCGTGTGGAAGCTTGCACGCAGCATTGACCCCATTTGCGAACCTCTCCGGGTTAAAGTTCAAGACGNGAGAAAGAGTGAAAGAGAAGTTGGACACAAGGGAAGCAATTAGCATCTTCAGTTCCACCATGGCCAAGTGCTGCCCAACACAAATTCGTGGCCCAAATCCGAAAGGCAAGAATCCGTGTGGAAGCTTGCACGCAGCATTGACCCCATTTGCGAACCTCTCCGGGTTAAAGTTCAAGACGTCCGGTCCCCAGAATTCAGGTTCAGTGTGCATTGTCACAACCATGGTCCAAAGGATGACACCCTTCGGTATTTGATAACCCCCGATAGTGACATCATTCAAAACCTCCCTTGCCAATGCAGGCCCAGATGGGTAAAGACGCAACGTTTCTTGAAGGACCATTGTTAACTGGAAAGCAGGTCAAATTTAGCACCCAATCGTGTTCTTAAACTCACAAGTCGTATCGTATCATGGATGATTGATTTTTCATCGTTTCAGATATAGCTCATATATAAATTATGTTTTGTGGGGTTCATATCTATTCATTTAATTGATTAATTGACGGGACTATTCATTTATCATCTAAATCCGTTAATTATATGTGAGTTTCATACCTAATTTGCAAATTGTGTGCTATCAAGTTTAAAATCTGGAAATGATAGTATACCTGTTTCATTTTACGGAGCATATCAGCATCTGGTGTTCGACCGCCAGTAATTTCAAGGACCTCAGCACGAACTCGATCTTGCCATTCTGGGTTTGAGGCCAAGAGCATAAGACACCATGATGCCCCAATTGCACTAGCCTCATGCGCTGCCAAGTATACGTTTTTGCAGTTAGCAACAATGAATTGGTCTATTTCTTTTTGGTTCATTTCACCATTTTCAGCGCCTTCCATAACCATTTGCAAAAGGTCTCTCTCTGCCCCAGTTTCCTTCCTCTCCTTTACCACCTCTAGGATCAAATTATGGATCTCTTTCTCTAGTGCCCATGCTTCTCTGTTAGCCTTTGTTGGAAGATATCTGAAATATATAGGAATAAACGAATTAGCATCAACGTTGTATCCAAAGAACAGTATTTGATATTTGTAGGAAGAAGTAATAGATGGAAAAAATCATTAGTGAAGAACATACGTTATTCCAGGGATACCAATTGATAAAACTTTATCAGAAGTAGCCTCCTGAAGGACTTTAAGCCTGTTGAATATCTCTTTTCCTTTGACATAATTGCTACCAAAACAAGCCCTTGAAATCACGTCTCCGGAAAAGGTTCTCATGTACTCGTCAATGTTTATATCTGCAAGTCCACCCTCGGAATCAATTTTGTTCTTCCATGCATCAACCAAAATAACTACAGACTCTGATATTTGGTTTGTCATTCCCTGCAAGAATTTGAGTTCGGCATAGAGGACTTTTAGTCTCATCAAACAAAGCAAACCAAAAAGGTTTGAAAACAGCATTATCATATATGTTCACACACCTTGATTTTCTCCATGTACAATTCTGGAGCAAGGACTTTTCTGTGATACGCCCAGGTAGGTCCATTTGTGGTAAGAATGCCATCGCCAAGCAAAGGACCAAACTCTTTTCGGTGATATGAAGGTTTACCCAAGTCATAGGTTGTATGTGTGGTTATCTCTTTGATCAAATCAGGGTGATTCACATACATTATTTGTGAATTACCAAGAGAAAACACAAACAATTCACCTGTAAAAGATATGAGGAAAAAGAAGTTAACCAATGCTTATATTTTACATCATAGTATTGAATATGAAAAATGAGACGGTGATGATGATGGTTTTGTTATGTAAATGTAATATACCGTATATTTGTCTCCACTTCTCGAAGAAAGGAAAGAGAGTGGCAACCCAGTTGTGGTCGAGTTGGGTTCCATTATTGGCAGCGGATTTAGTAGCCTTGGCGGCCGCATCGATTGGCTTCTTGACCTCCATCATATTACNAAGGAAAGAGAGTGGCAACCCAGTTGTGGTCGAGTTGGGTTCCATTATTGGCAGCGGATTTAGTAGCCTTGGCGGCCGCATCGATTGGCTTCTTGACCTCCATCATATTACCAAGTAGAAAACTTGGTGGTGGTCCGCTTATTCCCTGCTTCTTCAGTATCCTTCTAACCCTGGCCGGCTCCGTCACCAGAGCCTTGTACAGACGCACAAACACCCCCACCGCAGAAAGTAAAGCAATGGACATGAACATCTTGAAAAGCTCCATCTCTCTCCGTTCTCTCTCTTATCTTCTTTTTTTTTTCTGTTCTTAATTCGCTCTCTCAACTATTGCTTTTACTTTCTTGGTGTGCTTGGTTAGGCATGTTCAAGGCCTTTATATAACCAGTGACTTAGTGGTTGGTGTATGGCGGTATTTAAAGAGTTTAATAGTAGAGATATATGCTGCACCAAACAGCACCCCAAAGTCTATTGATACTGCGAGACAGAAGTCTGCCATTGTGGAATGAGAAGTGGCGACGGCTATTCTTCCTGCAGGTTGATTGAAAGGAAATATAAAACAGCACCCCAAAGTTGAATGTAGGGTTGAATAGAGTGTAGCAGCTATAATCATTTGGAAAGCGTAATAGTTAAAGTTCACTTATAGTTGACTATAGTACTGTTGAATATGGACTTTATTTGACCTCACTGTTGAATATAGACTACTAGTATTTTTCGGTGGATATAAAATTAGGACGTACTCTTTTATTTCACAATTAAAATAAAATTAAACGAAACTTAAAAATAAAAGAATACGTCTTATAGATTGATTCCAGAAAATGCACAGTACTGATNTTTTATTTCACAATTAAAATAAAATTAAACGAAACTTAAAAATAAAAGAATACGTCTTATAGATTGATTCCAGAAAATGCACAGTACTGATAAAAAAATTGATAGAAATGATTATTTTTGTCGTGGGCAATACCTTAATTAATCGTGTGAGATAGAGTGATTGAGTAACTGCGCGCATAGATATATAATCAAGTAGTTGGGGTGAAACCCTAATATGATTAGTGGGAGAATTTAAAAAGATACACGTGTTAACAATAATATGATTGTAAAAAAAAAGATAGAGGGAAGCAAAAAGATTGAGTTTCAACAATAATATGATTGTTTTATAAGATTGTAAGACNTATGATTGTAAAAAAAAAAGATAGAGGGAAGCAAACAGATTGAGTTTTAACAATAATATGATTGTTTTATAATATTGTAAGATGGGGAAGAACGATGCAAGAAATCAAGGATGTCCAGATTTGGTTGAATTATTCACTAAATGGATTGCTTTGATTTGGTAACTTGTAACTTAATCTTCGACATCCAATTGAATATGAGATATTCAATTTATCCAAATAATTCTAATTTGTTTATCGTTCTTCAATTTGTGGAGTCGGAAAAAATTACCTCAAAATATTGATTGAATTTTTGAAATTGATGTAAGATCAAATATCCAACGTAAATCTGGTGTTAGTTTATCTTCAGAGTTTGTTGGACTCCAACAAAGAGAGCAAAAAAAAAAAAAAACTACTCTCTTTAAATTATTTTTCTCGGATAATTTAGTCTTCTCATAATAATCAACCAGACCCATATATCATGTATATCTCTACTTTTCCCCACCCAATTGGATAAATTTATCCCACCTATATGGCATTAATGCTATTGTTAATCTTTTGGGTTTATTATAAGCTAAAATTTAAACATGAAAAATGTAGATTATTATATTCAAACTAATTTAATCTTTACTCTCTCATCCGCCTCGCGTCGTGTGGAACCAAACACACTCGTAGGATTAAAAAAATCTAATGTACTTTTGGCTACACTTTGAATAATTTTCTATTATTTAATTTACTTCTCACCAGAATTCCCCGGTATGACTTTTATTGACAGTCACCCTCAACCGTCCTGTAGTAAATGAGCTAACAAGTAGAAGTTTTTACTTTAGACGTAGTTATGTGCAAACGTTGAGTTTTAGGTTGTAAGTGCATTAAGTTAGATAGTGAAGTTTTTTTTTTTAAATTTTTTTTGGGAATATGACTCAAATTTTTTAATTGTCGTGAAAAAGGAGAATTTAATAGGCAATTAATGTGAGAATCCTATATGGAATACGATTATATTAGAAGAATTTTAATATGCAATGGATTGATATATTAGATATGTGATAGGAAACAAAAATATCAAGTTGTATTTGAATATGTTGGGTTATAATATTTTATTCTTATAAAGAGGGATGCATATTATGTAATCATTTATCAGATGATCAAATTTCAATGAATAATATATCGATGTAGATTTTTAGTCAATGGATGTAGGTACGGTATATCAAAGTGAGTTTGCTGTAACGAACCATGTTATATCTTTGTGTCATTTTTTATTATTTTTCTATCTTCTAAAAATTATTATTTGTATTAATTATCTACTGTGCAAAACCAACAAGTGATATCAAAGTTATGTTCCAACAAGTGGTATCAAAACCAGATGACGCTCCTGATGCAACAATCAGAGTTAAATTGATGATCCTAGTAGAACAATCAGAGCTAAATTGACAATTCTGGTGTAACAATCAAAGCATGTTGTTGGCAATTCAATGATCAAGTTGGTGTTCATGTTGAAGAAGACTCTCTTTCCATGTATGTACAATTCATATTTTTGTTTAGTTTCANTTGGCAATTCAATGATCAAGTTGGTGTTCATGTTGAAGAAGACTCTCTTTCCATGTATGTATAATTCATATTTTTGTTTAGTTTCATAGGAAAAAAATTAAACTTGGTATGAAACTAAACGGAAGACTAAGTTGCTTCCTGATTTTTTGAATTTCAAGAATTAGCACATGTGATATATTGAAGATGTTTTTTCAAAAATTTGGGCTCTAAGAGTTCAAGTCGAGGTATTCCAATGTTTTGAGAGCTATTGGGCTGACATAAACCCAATAGTTATGATGTAGTGTCTCTTGGATTATGAGTCACTAGGCCATTGAGACCTCTCAAGAATAGGTAAGACGCAGACAGAGATACATAGATGATACTGGCTCTTGAAAGACAGAGGGGATTGTGACGACTCAGAAGAGCAGGTTTGCACGGGGTGTGAAAAAATTGGTGGGTCAGAATTAATGGTGCTAAACTTGATGTTGAGAATGACCCAATTTGAAGAGTTTAGTTCAAGGGAGACTGTTGGAATTTGATTCAAACTCTCTAATTATCATGAAAAATGAGAATTTGTTGAACAATTAATGTGAGAACTCTATATTGAATAAGATTATATTAGAAGAATTTTAATATACAATGAATTGGTATATTAGATATGTGATAAGAAACACAAATATCAAGTTGTATTTGAATAAGTTGTGTTATAATATTTTATCCTTATAAATAGGGATGTGTATTACGTAATTAGTTTACCAAATAATCAAATTTTAGTGAATAATATATCAATGTATATTATTGGTCCATAAATGTAGGTACGGTACACTAAGGTGGGTATACTGTATCAAACCACTTTATATTTTTGTATTATTTTTTATTGTTTTCCTATTTTTCAAAAAATATTATTTGTATTAATTATCCACTGTGCAAAACTAACAAATGGTATCAAAGATATGTTCCAACATTTTTTGCTTCAAATCTGATGAGTTCTTTTCCTTTTAGCGCATGTTCGAACTTGTTATTTGGGATTCCTATGTAAAAATTGGAATTCCTCAAGATATGCTTAAACAAGGTATTTATGGTGCTCTAGCAATTATAAACTCTAACTTGACTTATGCAATTTGTGAACTCTTTGAATTCAATAAACATACTTCCATAGAAAAGGTGTTAGACACAATGGATACTTTGTACTATGAAGTATATTATTTGCAATCTTTTGGCGTGGTTTTTGAAATTAACCTATACTTTTGCCCAACTTTATGAAATTCTAAAACTATTGCATACTTGTGCATTCACTACTAACCAAAAATCTATATTTTTTCCTCTATTAATTGGTCGTTTTTCATTTTTGAGCCACTCTTTTCGCAACTTGATTTTTTGAAACTTTATCCCCAAAGGCTCTCTGTGTCACTGAGCTTACTTTTACCTCTTTTCAATTGAATTCATAACAATATGTGAGCGGTTGCTCTGATTCTCTCTCTATCTATTGTCTTTCTAAATCGATCAACTTTATTAATCTACTTTGTTTCTGTGGTTGCAAATTGTGTTTTTTGGATTGTTTCATTAATGAAAAGATTAGAAACATGTTTAAATTAATCTCTTAGTTCTTGTCAAATTTTTGTTTGCTTATTATGATTGGGTATGAGTTTTAAAAGAAGAACTAGAACTTTTTAATCTTTGCGCACTGATTCTGATAAGAAATGTCTTCTCTTTTAACTGCTCAGAATCCCGAGCAATCAATACTGTGTCATCGATCTGCCGACTGTTCAATGAACTCCCCTCGGGGAGGACGCAATAAATGTCCAGCCTTAGAGACATTTATTGTCTTTCACTTCTAAGTCTTACCACATTGAATGCAGTCTCATCAAGGAAATGACGTAATTAAATGCTTGCTTTCCCAAGTCGCGTGTCAGCAAGGCCATGCGGTCTTTCTGTCTCTGATGTGACACAATATGCCACGCGTCCATTCTTCATTGGCTGTGACCCCTGTCTTCCTGTGCCTTCTGACATCGATTGTGTAAGACGAGGTCATGATAGCTAACCTAGCCTAGTTGAGGCTAGTGACCAGTGCATCAATAGCCTCTGCTGGAGCAGAGAACTTCATCCTGGATCAGAGGGGTACATCTCGGTACCGAGAGAGAGGTACATCTCAGAGCCGAGGAAGAGGTACATCTCGANAAATCTATATTTTTTCCTCTATTAATTGGTCGTTTTTCATTTTTGAGCCACTCTTTTCGCAACTTGATTTTTTGAAACTTTATCCCCAAAGGCTCTCTGTGTCACTGAGCTTACTTTTACCTCTTTTCAATTGAATTCATAACAATATGTGAGCGGTTGCTCTGATTCTCTCTCTATCTATTGTCTTTCTAAATCGATCAACTTTATTAATCTACTTTGTTTCTGTGGTTGCAAATTGTGTTTTTTGGATTGTTTCATTAATGAAAAGATTAGAAACATGTTTAAATTAATCTCTTAGTTCTTGTCAAATTTTTGTTTGCTTATTATGATTGGGTATGAGTTTTAAAAGAAGAACTAGAACTTTTTAATCTTTGCGCACTGATTCTGATAAGAAATGTCTTCTCTTTTAACT